AAGAGCCCAACAGTTTAAGCAAGACATGATGAGGACCTAAAGTGGAAGACAGATTCTAGATATAAAAATAGGTCACACAAATTGGCAATGGACTCCATGAGGTGGGCAATGGAAGAAAGACTAAAAGCAACAAGAGCAACAGGATGGAGATGTGTTCTGCTAGAGCCTGTGCTTGGTGTTTCATAAACACTATCTTGGCCTTCACAACTCCGGGAAGTGGGCAGAACTAGCTCATTTTACAGATGATGCATACAGAGTTAAAGAACATCTCTAGTCATGTGATTATATAGTTAACTTTCGCATCTAGGTCAATACTGTTAACCATTATACAATATGGTAAATCTAGACATAGATGCATAGTACACTATTTTGGAGTTGAAAGGGAAGTTCAGAACTAGAGACAGACATCTGGGAGTCATCAAGGTAGACAATGGCGATGGCTGAAACCACAGAAATGTTCTGACTGTCCAAGAAGGAAGCAGAGGCAAGAAAGAATCTGGGAGAACACCCCATTTAGAACAGGAGGGAGTGGTGGCAAGGAGAGCTGGAAAAGGACCCGAAGGTGGTGATGTCATAGGATAGGGTACGGACAGTATCAAGTACTGCAAAAAGGTACAACATGACCAGACCCAAAGTGAGGACACATTTGCTGTTACAAAGGCTTTCAGCCAAAATGGCTTCAGCACTGGAGTGGTGGGGGTATTAGGCAAGTAGCAAATCGCTAAGAGTGCAGGCACAGTATTGAGAGCTCAAGGAGCTTTCTTTAAAAAAGGATCACCTTGAGTGTTGCTGACTAGGTGCATCCAGAACTCATAAATGGAGAGTGCCAGGCAGTAGGGTTATGCAAATTGCTCCAGCTGCACTTGCCATTTGGGCTCAGAAGCAAATAGAAATGGCATAGGGACTAGAGTTGGACATGAAGAATGGGGTCAGTGAAAGCGGGCATAAAGCACAAAACGTCTTTGGACTCTTCTACACAGAAAAGCAGCCTTTGCTGGGATACAATGGATTTTTTAAATTCTCAATAATTTGAAGAGCCCATTTGGCATGTTTAAAAACCATGGTTTACTTTTAGATTATGGAAAAAAGTCTCTTATCTCATAAACAGATAAATAATGTTAACAAATTTAATTCAAAATGAATAAACTCTAAGTACATGACAGGCAATGCTGGAACAGGATGAAACCTAACACACCAATTACTAATTCTTCCTTACTTGGCAAGCTGATTCCCCCAAAGACTTCTATTTAGCAAACACTTTTAAGAGGCCATGTACCGCTAAGGAATCAAAGAGCAATTATTTATGTTTTACTGTTCAGACTGGCTGCCATCCCACTTAGATAAAAGGGAGGCTTTACTGGGTCATCTCACACTTGCATGTCTCCAAAGCACCTGAAACTGCTTCTTGTTTTGTCCAACTATCAACAGGGAACACGTCAGCATCCCTATTTTGCAGTGGGGAAGGCAAAGGCTAGGGGAGGTGAGGGTACATCTCACGCCACCCAGTTCTCTTGCCTCCAAGTCCAAGGCTCTATCCTCCACTCATTCTGATCTGTGACCTCTTGGGCATTCTCGCCTCTGGCTTTGCAGACTATAGGTCTGAAGTCCACCATCCCCCTGGCCAGCATGTATCCTGTAAAATATCCAAAAGAAGTCCTTGACCCCCAGACCTGTAGGGGTCACTTAGCCAGCATGCTCCTTTATCCCATTTTCCACTCATCAGGATCACATGCAATTATTACAGGAACGGAACTGAGGCTCTTCCTGAAATAAAATTAAAGCAGGTAACATTTCTTGAGTCCCTACAAATGCCATGGACTATGCTAAAAACTTTATATGCATTACCTCATCCTCACGCTCAGCACAAATTCCTACCCATTTTAGACCACGATACCAAGGTTCAGAAAGGCTCAGTGAATTGCTGTCATTCAGTATTCCTAACTCAAATCTGCCAACCTCCAAATTCCACTTGGTTTTCCCTCTGCTACATTGCCTGGGTCCAGCACCCTGGCCAATGTGGAAGAGGGCAAGTTAGGCAAAGCACATCCTTTTCATTGTAGCTGCCTGGCTTTCAACCCAGACTCTGGTGAGGTTAATTCCTTGTTTCTCACTTGGCAGACGGCCCCCCAGCCTAGGGCTCTGGGAAGCTGACAAGAGTCAAAGGGCTCCCTGGCAGGTTTGTCCTGGCAGCTGCCCAGATGACTTGTGCTAACACAGCAACAGGCACAGGAAAGGGTCGAAAGAGAGTGGAAAAGCACCAGACACCAAGCCGCTGAGGAGAGAGAAGTGATTCCTGCTGTGTTCAGGCTGGACAACCATGCTCCAAAGCCACCCATCACAAGGCAAGGAAAAGACTCAGGGGAGGAGGAGAGAATGACAAGAACCCCAAGCATATCTTCTTAGTGTTTCTGTGAACTATGACTGTTGGGCCAGCCAAAGTGAGCGTCACATGCCTCCAAGGCGAATCAGCAAAAACAGATGAAAACCAGTCCATGCCCGGGTTCATCCTAGCAGTCCTGACCTGTCTTTGGCCACATCCACATCAGCCCTGCTACTTAGCATCATCTGCAGAGAGGCAAGACAGCATGTCCTATCTTAGAGCCATGGCAGCAGCCACAGACCTCAGCCAGCCCGTGGGAAAGAAAGGTCTAGCTGAGAGTATTAATAGACTTGCTGGAGGCAGAAATTCAGCAAGGACTAGCCCTGAGAAGTGAAATTATTTAAAAGGGGCACAATCAAAGTGGAACTGGAAGGAAGCAAATTGGATTTCCAAAGATAGGCCTCTGTTGGCTAGGCATTGGTAGGAGGTACACCAGTAGACATAGGTTTTCTAAAATGTCTGAAAATCTAAAAATGTCTGTAGGAAACCTTTTTGGAATTGTTTCTCCGGCTTTCCATCCTCAAATGTTTTGCTAAGGTTAATATTAAATTATACATACACAAGCTACCTAAAAAAAATAAAATAAAAAAGGAACTTTGTTTGGTTGAATTTTTTTTTCTTTTTTTTTGTTTTGTTTTTTTTTGGGGGGGGGGGTTGGGGTTTTTTTTTTTAAGTTTTTGTTTTGTTTTTTGAGACAAGGTTTCACTCTGTAGTCCAAGCCAGTGTTAAACACCAGATCCTCCTGTCTCAGTCTCCTGAGTTCTGGGATTAGAAGGCATGCACCACCAAGCCTGGCCCCAAAAGTGTTTGATGAAAACTAATTCTGAGATCTAATGTTTACCACAAGTTTTTAGACCACTAAAAAATGTATACCTCTCAGGGGATGAGTTTTTTTTTTTTTTTTTTTTTATCTTTTTTGTTGTACTAGGGATAGAACCCAGGGCCTCACACACACAAATCAGCAGCCACTGGGTCAAATTAACCCCATGAGTATGTTAGCATGCTTAGATTTTTTTTCCTTTGGCAGGACCAGGGTTTGAACTCAGTGCTTTGCATGTGCAAAGCAGGCACTCTATCGCTTGAACCACACCGCTAAACCCACTTTGCTCTGGTTATTTTGGAGATGGGAGTCTCAAGAAAGTATTTTCCTGGGCTGGCCTCAAACCATGATGTTCCCAATCTTAGCCTCCCAAGAAGCTACGATTACAGGTATGAATCACTGGTGCCCTGCATCCTTAGATTTCTTAAAAGAAAAAAAAATTGTCAACATTTAAGAAAACAGGTTTGGCCAAACACAGTGGCTCATGCCTACAATCCCAGCTACTGGGAGGCAGAGATTGAGAGGATTATGGTTCAAAGTCAGCCCAGACAAAAAATTTGAGCTTATGTCTCAACCAACAACCCAAAATACCAATTACGTGGGAAGCATAGGTAGGTGGATCTTGGGCCAAGACTGGTTCCAGAGCAAAAAGTACTTCACTACAACCTATCTGAAAAATAACTTGAAGGCAAAAACCAAAAAACTTAAAAAACCAAAAAGTGTGTGTGAGAGGGGAGAAGGTGGAAAATAAATTAAGAAATCAAAAGAGAGGTAGGGAGAGCTGGGGATATGACTCAAGTGGTAGAGCACTTGCCTAGTAAGCACAAGGCCCTCCCTGAGTTCAAATCCTAATACAACCAAACAAGAACAATAAAAGCCCTGGAAGTTTCAACAACAACAAAAAAACTTCACTGAATTTTTAGCAATGAGGAATGAGTTTTCTGGGGGATAAATGGGAAATGTGGTGCCACTGGTTGATTCAGTTGAAAACTAAATCATCACTGCCCTCTCTTGGCAGGCCTGTGCTTTCTATTTCTAGTTCCCAGCTAAGCCAGCTGGTCCACTTATTTGTCACCTGACTGACCCCTCTAGGCATCAACCACTACTACTCCTGGTTTAGCTCAGTAGAATAAGCCCAGGCCTGGTAATGCTCATTACGGTCACAGGGTGGCAGCACCAGTCTGTCAAAGAAGCATGCCACCAACCAGGACCTCTAACAGGAAGCTGAACTTAGCAAGCCCTTTAGCAACCAGAAACCTTATCCTTACTTGGGTAGCAATCTTCCCCACACTCCACATCAGATTTGTTCCTCAGGAAACAAATCCTCAGCATCTCAGTTCAACACCTCCATTAGGCCTCAGCCTAGATACCAGGGAAGGTCACTAATTGACTTCTTCCTTCTCTCAGGTCACCTTTCCCATCCTCCTAGCACTTACCACTCCACAGCTGGTATCTCCCTCCACCTGGTCAGGAATTCTATCCTCATCTACCTCTAACACCTTGGTGCCCCAGAGGAGAAACCCTGGTAATAAGCAGAGGCAGATTAACTCTTCACTGAGGGCTCACTATCTCTGCTTCCCTTTACTCACTCAGGTTGATGTTAGTCCCCCTTGACTCAGCATGTTCTGCCTCTTCCAGCCCTCTGTTCTAGCTCCCCTTATGCAGGGAAAGCCTTATGCCAGACACTCATTGCAGTATTTAAACTCATGAACAGTCAGGAACAATTCAAACATCCAACAAGAAGGAAAATGTGAAAAATAAACTTTTGCTATATGCAACTATTAAAACAATTATGATGACCATATGATAAGATGGGAAAATTATATGAAATAATTTGTGAAAAATAATATAAAAGTACAGTGATGTAACTATTCTAAAAACTAGAGTAGTAAAAAAAACAAGAAAATATTAATAATAGCAGTTGTACTAGGGCACTGGGACTTTTCTTCAATGTTGCATACACTACTTTCATGGGGGAAAGTACGTGTGTATTGTGCATGTGCTGCACTCCCATTGAGACTTTGGAGTTGCTATAGCCTCGTTATCATGGTAAAAAGGCTCTTGGGAACCTTGAGAGTCCTCTAGGACTCTCAACAACCGCTCAATAAAACAAAGTTTCCAGGGCCCAGGAGTTCTCAAACACTATTGTTTACCCTACCCAACCAATGCCCACTCTTCCTAACTTCTAAGGAGGCCCCAAATGCCACCGGGAAGATAGAATTCCATTGCTATGATTCTCAGAGCCACTTTAATCATGGTTTTCACTACATAGTGATGAGGGGTGGAAGACGGTGACTGTTTTCAATTAAATTCACCAGGCACCGTTCCTCCCTGCCCCAATGTGAATAGCTTGAGCTTCTGACAACAACAACAACAAAATGCTTTTGTTCTCCAGGGAATCCCATTCCTGGGCTGACAATAGGATTTCAGGAAGAATGAGGATGAAGGAAAGGGACTAGGCAAGGGAGTCAGGGTGATCTTTAAATTCTTCCCAGTGTAAACTGCAACGAGACATGTAGGTGCCCTCCTAATAGAACACCCAGATCCAGCCACTGCCACTCAAAGCTGCATTGCCTCTCCAGGGAGACTAAAGGTCAATGTTCATTTCATAACACTCCTCCTGTAGTGCACCCACATAAGCTCAAAGTCTGAGCATTTGTGGCCCTTGCATGACAACAGCAGCCTTCCTCTGCTTGCCCTCAGCTACTGCTGTCTGCCTGGCCATAAAGGAGCAGCCAGTACATGTGTGGCTGTGGGGTGTGGGAGGAGCCAGAATAAGCAGCAAAGCAAATCAAATATATGTTCTGGGGCTGGGTCGCCATGGTGCAGGACCAGTCACAGCCCTGTGGACCACAGGGCCCTGTGTTCTCCATCAATTCTTCTCCGGGCGGTTTCTGTTCAGGACAGCTTTAGGGGCAAATTCCAGTTTGTCCTTAAGGCTCACCACTTGGGTGTGGTCCTTGCCTAGCAGCTCATCCAGTTTTCGATCCTCCCGGCGCTCTGAGATGCTCTTTTCCTCCTCCACAGGCTGGGGAGCCTTTCCCCTGATGAACCATTCCAAGTGGTAACCCACAGCCCCGACCACAAAGGCCACAGGAAACGTGACATAGGGAGCATAGGTACGCACCACGGTCCAAAGCACAGGCCACATGACATCTGCAGAAGAGCACAAGGTAGCATTAGGGATAAACAAGCATCCCTTCCCCCACCAAACATGGACAACCCACAGGGCACTTTCCTTACCAGGTAGCCTGGCACAATCTACTGAGCAGTTACCCAACACAGAGCAATGCAAGAGGGTACTATGTTTTATGCAACAGCTCAGTCTCTGAAACAGTCTAGGAAATTGTGAAAGATCCAATTGGTAAGGAAGGAAGAAGAGAATCTCTATTTTATGAACCACTCTCTCGACAGTTGTGCATCTGTGTATGGCAATGTTCTCCACAAGGGGACCTCAAAGTCTTAGCCAATATAGCTTCAAGCCTGTTAACCTCAGACACTCCCTCTCCAGTTTGGCAACATTACAGGAAGGAGAAATCTTTCTTAGCGCCATGAAATTCTTACATGTGCACAAATCCCTCTGTGAATCTCCTGGCACCTTCATATTGAATAGTTTCTTTTCTTCATGTAAAAGATAAGGAGCTTATTTAATAGCCAAAACCTAATCCTTTGCCTAACTATTCTGGATTCAAGACAGATAAGGGTTTTAATTCTATTTTGAATTTGACCTTTCTAATAATGGAACTAACCTACAGTTTACAAATTTAGCCGGGTGTGGTGGCTCACACCTGCGATCCCAGGTACTCAGGAGGTGAAAGCAGGAGGATCTAGAATCTAAAGCTGTCTGGGCAAAGCTAGCGAGACACTATCTCAAAAACAAAATAAAAACCAAAGGACTGAGGGTCTGACTCAAGTGAAAGAGCACATGCATTGGATTTCAATCCCAGTATTGAAAGAGAGAGAGAGAAAGAGAACAAAAAAAAAAAAGAAAAGAAAGAAAGAAAAGAGAAAGGAAGGAAGAAAAGAAGGAAAAAGTAATCTATTAGCCAAACCACTTTCAAAATATACTGTCTTGAGGCTGGGGGCATGGCTCAAATCGTAATTTGAAAGGCCCTGAGTACAAACCCCAGTACTGCAAAAAGAAAAAAAAAGATAGATAATAGATAATACACTATCTTCAGCCAAACCCATACCCTCACATTTGCATAGTAAACTCTTAAAACCATCAGAAAGCGTTATATACACTCTGGACATCCTAGGACTACAGTATAAGCCATGGCAAGGGAAAAAAAAGTGGAATTGTCCCAGGGCCTTGTGAAATGAAATGGAAATGGAACAATACCAAAGTACAATAAAAAACACTCACTGTAAAGGCTATTTAGTCATGAATGACTATCACTGTTAACATTTTTCAAAAATCATTTATAATTATCATAATAATGGTAGCTACTGTTCACTGAGCACCTCCCACTCGCTGAGCTAAGCACTTTACATACTCCATCTCCTTTAATCCTCAGGCCTGCCCTAAGAGGTAACCGGATATTGTTACAGAGTTCAGTAACTTGCCCAAATTCTCAATTAGAAGATCTTCCTAACTGTGCTACTGTAGGCATTTTTCTAGCACAGGCCTAAAAGGAAAAATCAAAACAAATAAGATAGCTCTCTCTCTTTGGCTCCAATTCTCTTTGGAGGAAACCAAAGAGAATTGTGTGAGATGAACACGATAACCACTATACTATGGAAACAACTTCAAGAGTTTTGTGGACCTAAGACTATAATGGGTCATAAGTGGAGGGGGCTGCAGCAGCTTAAGATTCCCCTCCTAGTCATTTATCTTAGCACCAGGCCCCATGCTGTACAATGTACACAATCATCTTCATCTAACCCTCACAACAGCTTTATGATGTAGGAACTATTAGCCCAGATTTTTGTCTAAGGTCACAAAGGCTCAGGGACATGTTAACTTGCCCAAGATCACGAGAAGTGACAGATCCATTGATTTGGAGTTTATGCTTCTCCAACTTCAAAGCCTGTGCTCTTCCTAGTAGAAAGAATACCTGCAGATCTGTGCATGGCTATGTCCAAATCCTGAACTTAGGAAGAACCTCCAGCGGTTTATCACGGTTTGCTTAGCATTTCGTTACCTTGAAGAGCTTCCCTGTTTGCAAATTCTGAGTTTATGCTACAATATTTGGAAAACTCTAAGATCCAGACATTGTCAAAAGAGGCACTCCTGAAGAATCTCAAGCCTTCATTTTGTTTCCTTTTAGGCAAGTTCTCTCTTTATAAGCACTTTTCCAACACCCCATTCGAACATTCAATTTGCCTTCAAACATATCAGGAGTTCACAAGGTCTCTCTCTCTGTTGTCCTGCTCAGATTCTAGCCATTCCCAAATAAGTCAATTCATTCGTTTATTGAACACGTATAGCCTCTTGCTCTGTGTCAGGCACCGTGCTGGCTTGCCCTAATTGTCTGAGTTTCTTAAAACACCTTAAAGCTCCAAGAGAACAAGGACCAAGTCCCTCGGGCCTCACTTCTGCCCTATCCATCCTCCCACGACTCCTTCCCACCCTCCCTGGCACAAAGTGCTCCAAAAAAGTTTGTTGAACGAATAAATAACAGACAGCTCAAGCAACTGAAAACCACAGCAATCGCCCACCCACTCTCCAAAGGAGGCGGGAACACTGCAGACAGATGCGTTTGCTGATCACAAGAAACGACAGACTCGGTGAAGTCATCGCTAAGACAGCAAAATGAAAGAAGCAAAAGTGTCTGGCGAATACTGTGCCGCTTATTTCCATCCCGGCATGCAGGATGCCTGCCAAAGCTTCCAAGGCAGGTCACTGGTACAGCCAGAAAAATTATCCTTGGGTCCGGACCCTGGAGGCCCAGTGAGATCCCAAGCTGAGATCCCGAATTCGAGAAATGCTAACAAGGGCTGAAGAGGCTCTGACAGTTACAGGAGCCCAGTCGGGGATGGGGGCGCAAATCACCTCCCCTGGACTCCCAGTCCCCTGCCCCATCCCACCACTCACGGCCTTGTCAACGTCCGTCCTTACTCGAATGCCCGAGGCCTAGAAGCCCTGGCCGCAGAGGGTCAAGCCAGGCAACCAAGCTCGACAACCGACCGCGGAGAAGAGGTCAGGCCTCGCCAGGCCCGGGGCGGACACTTGTGACCAACCCTCCCCTAACTCACAGATTACGGCCGGTAGCCGTCACCATGGAATGCGCGGCCGGACAGCCACTCCAGGGACTGGAACTGCCCTCGCGGCCCGCGTGCTCACCTGCGGCCCAGTCCGCACTCCTCCGCCTGGCCCAGATATTCGCCCGCTAGCCGGGAGAACCGAAGATGCGGTTCCCAGCGGCCCGCGGGGCAGCGCCTCGTGACCCCGCCCACTAGCCGCCGGCTGTCTCGGAGCGCAGGGATTGGCTGAGCTCCAGTCACAGGGACAGGAGAAAGCTAGGCGTCCTCAACCCTGCCGGCTGCACTAATAGGTACAGCGCCCTCTAGTGGTCAGGATGTTTCCCACTGGCGTCGCCACTTGTTTTTCTTGTGGAGAAAGTAAAAGGTCATGCATTCATTCATTCATTTTACTGACGTTTATTTGGCGTCCACTAAGACCTAGATCTGGTAGACAGAAATATAAAACATGATCACTGACCTCAACAAGCTCTCCTTGCCGGGCGGTGGCTCACGCCTGTAATCCTAGCTACTCAGGAGGCAGAGATCAGAGGGATCGCAGTTCAAAACCAGCCCGGGCAAATAGTTCGTGAGCCCTTATCTCGAAAAACCCTATCACAAAAAATTGGGCTGGTGGAGTGGCTCAAGGTGAAGGCCCTGAGTTCAAGCCCCAGTACCGCAAAAAAAAAAAAAAAAAAAAAAAGCAGCAGCTCTCCTTAGCAAAGTATAATCTAGTGCTTTGAAACCTCCCGGACCTGCACTAGCTTTCTAGCTGTGTGACCTTGGGAAAGTTATTAAGCTATCTGAGACTCCCTTCCTTCTGCGTAGAGGTAAGAACACCCACTGTACAGGGATATTATGGGGATTATATGAGATCATGTATGTAAATACTGTGCCAGGCACAGAGCAAGCAGGGAAATAGATGGTAACTATTGTGAGTCTATAAATAATTTAAATATAGTAAGCTACTTCTCTCACATGACCCCTCAGATACACTCCCTCCTCTGTGTGTCCACTGTACCCTGAAAAGATGTCTATTTTATCACATACAGGCTACCTTCCCAATTTCATTTCACAAAGATTGCAAGTGGTGGAGGGCTTGCCTAGGAAGAGTGAGTCCCTGGGTTCAATCCTCAGTACTGCAAAAACTTAAAAATAAATAAATAAATAAATAAATAGAGCTCATTCCACTGATTTCAGCCTGGCATGTTTCTTATCTTCAGTAACAGAGACTAATCCCTTCCTATTTCTCCAAACTGTTTTAGATGTCTGTGCCTTTACTTACTTTTTTTTTTTTTTGACTATCTGGTGTGCCCTTTGAACCTTCCTCTACCAAAGTACCTCTTTTCAAGTTCAAGTTCACAAGCCTCCTTCATAGGAAGCCTCCTAGACAGCATTATCAATTTAGAGACCCTTCCTCTATTATCAGAGCCCAAAGCTAAGCTCAGTAGTGAAGATGATGAGGAAGAAACAGTATAGAAATGTGTGGGAGACTGTTATTAGCAGAACTTGTTCATTTGTACAATGACTACATAGAGAGGAGAAGGAAACAGAATTGCTAGAGTAACTGGCACTTGGTCAGCCAGTCAGTGTATGTTAGGCATTGGGGATGTAAACATGACTGGGATCGCCCATGTCCTCAGGAGTCCTCTGACAAAGGGGAAGCCAATGGGTCTACAAAAGGTTAACAGAATGTAAGAAATGTGATGACAGAGGAGGGCAGTCAGTCCAGTCAGGGAGGGCTCCCCGGACCAACGGGCTCTTGAGCTGTCTTGAGTACTGGCTAGCAGTCCTCCAGGCAGACTGAGTGGGGCTCAAGAACCCAGAGTTTGAAATCAGGTACCTATGGGTTGAAATCCTGGCTCTGCTATCTGCTAATCTCAGAAAAGCTACTTACACTCTTTATTTTAAAAAGACAATAAGAGTCCCCACCCTCCATGACTGCTGACTATCAAATTACCTTAATGTGTGATAAAGTGCTTGGTATAATACTTGGTACCTCCTCAATAAGTGCTCAGTGGTTACTGACGTGTCAAGTACTACCTAAGTTCAATCTTCCTTTAATGTCCTATGTCTATTTTTGGCATGACTCATTCATTAAGCCAAAACTCCAAGTGACATTTCAAGGTCTTCTCTTTTCATTTTCCCCAATCTAGCATACAGTACCTACACCTACTAAATGTCTCTCCAAGTCAACATCATTATCGCTTCCCTGGACCATTCCAGCAGCTCCTTCAAGGGTCTCTCTTCCTTCCCACTGCTCCTTTGCTCCATTTCCATTCCTTTGGCCAAAGTCTCCCACTCCTCTCTCTCCTCCAGGACCTCTTAGCCTGTCCACCCTCTCCAGCCTTGGCTCTCCCCATCACTCGCAGCACACACATCCTTCCACGCCCCTGCCCAGCTGGTCCCTTTCCCTGAATATTCTCTCTTCTCTTCCCTGACTACTAAATGTTAACTCGTCCTGCAAGACCCCAAAAGAATACTTCCCCACACTCCCTGTGCTATGGTTTGAATGTTCGTTCCCTAAGACACATTTAATTATCACCACATGAGCCCTCCATCCTCATGCGTGGGACTGGTACTCTTATGAAAGAGTGAATTTGGCCCCCTCTTCCCCTCCACCATGGAGTGATGCAGCAGGAAGGTCCTGCCAAATGCAGATACCTCTTCTTTCGTTTTTAAGACAAGATCTCAATATGTTCCCAAGCTCAACCTGCACTTCTCGGGCTCGAACAATCCTCCTGACCTGCCTCCCAAGTAGCTGGGAAGATACATGCAGTGCTCTAGATTTGAACATTGATATTGAAAACCTCCAGCTACCAAAACTGTGAGCCAATTAATTTTTTAGGATTTTACTTACTTATCTGTTTGCAGTACTAGATATTGAACCCAGGGCCTCCCACATGCTAGGAAGCACTCTGCCTCTTGAGCCGCACCCCCAGAAAATTTCTGTTCACTCTAAGTGACCCAGCTTGTGGCACTCTATTATAGCAGCATAAAACAGACCAAGACACCCAGATGGCTGGAGACTCCCTTCTCTCATCTACTAAGCCCCTCTGGAAGAGCTGGCCTTCCTCGGTACCATAACTTTCTGCTCATGCGCCTAGCTATGGCCAAACTGGGAGCAACTCACGCACGAGGACTGGATCTTTCACCTACCTGATGGGGCTCAGCACAACTACCCAGGCCACAGCAACCAAAGGAGGCTTCCCACATTAGCACTCCCGGAGAGATTTTAGACATCGTGCCCATGGCAGGATGACCAGAGCTGCAGGTGTTGACCTGTTTCTCCATGCCTACTCCCATATACCTTGTGATTCCAGGAAAGATGGTCCTATTTCTGAGAAAAGACACAGACCCATTTAAAAACTGTAGAAATTAAGGTTGGACTCAGCTACTTCCTACCTTTCAGGATTTGGGCCAAGTTGTTTAATCTCCCCAATCCTCTGTTTCCTCATCTGTAAATGAGGGAGCAGGGGTGGTAACAATACCTCCCTACCTCATAGGATGACTCTGAGTATTGTTTGGTTCAAAACTCACTCGTTCCAATTTTAAGGATGAGAAAACAACCTCAGAGAAGTCATGCAGCCCAGGTCTCACTGGCAAGTCTATGGGAAAAGAGACCAAGGAACGTTTGTAGAGGAATCCTATGTCATCCAACCTATGTGTTCCCAAACCTGGTTGTGCATCAGAATACCTGGAGCACTTGCTAAAAACTCATACAAGGACAGAATCTGTTCACAAGTCTTGGATTAGCCCCAGGCTGATTTGCTTTGGGGAATTCAAACTCCACGGGAGCCCTCCACATGTCATATGCTTGTCTATGTGTAGAATCTTTTGCTCTCCAGTCATCTCCCAAATGAGCCTGTAAAAATGTCTGCACCACTCTCTAGTCCAAAAACCTCCTATACTTCCCCAGGGAGCTCAGGATGTAGACCCAGCCTCCTTGTCAGGACCCAGAGACCAACATAATCAGCTCTGCTGCTCCCAGTGTCCTATCTCCTCCAGGCCTTTGCACAACCATTGCCTGGTCTTGGAGCATTCTTCCCAGCCCCAGCCCTCCAGTGGGTAATGCTGAGTCATTGCCAGCACTCACCCCTGTATTTTAGCTGTCTGCTTGCTTGTCTGTTTTCCCCCTAACACCATAAGCTCCATAAGGACAGAGGCTACATTGTTCAGGGCTCTCTCTGCAGTGCCCACCAGTGACAGATGTTTGCTGAATAATGAATGAGAATTAGCCGGTATGGTGTGGCCCAAAAGAGCAGCCACGCCTGTGGATGACACAACACAAAGGGGCTTTCCTGGTGGGGGCAGCCAGCAAATCCTTTCTGGCCTAGAAGACTGTGGGGGCTAAAAGCTCACGATTTGGCATTCCACCCAGCTTTGTGACTTTGGGGGTCACTCAACCTCCCCTGAGCTTTGGTTTCTCATGTGAGGCACTCATCCCTTGGCCTGACCCTGGGAGAGCATCCAGTACATACTAGCCATGGCCACTAGGGTTGGGTTGGCTTCCCAGGAAAGTTTTATTCTTCCTACCTCCTTCCCCCAAAGGAGGCACCAGAAGTGACTACGTTTTCTGCTGCCGACTGAGAATGACTGGAGCAAGAAAGAACACTGTGCCCTCTCCGAAAGGCACATATTTGTTGATACCTAACAATAACCCATGCCCCCATTTATTGAGCACCTGCTGTGTGCCAGGCACTGAACTCCAGAGCTTCCCTCTCTGAGGGAACCCTGGGAAGACAAGGAGGCAGAAGGAGAATGGGATTCAACATGGAGGCGTGAAGAGGTTCCCAGCATTCCCCTCAGGCCCATCCAGGAAGGCCCAGGTCCTTATTGTGGCCACTAGAGGCTTCTTCCAACTGGCCCATCCCTGGGAGCGGCTCAGGCAACCCCTGCTGTCCCCAAGCCAAGAGTGCGTGCTCCAGGCTCCCCCACACCAGGCAGAAGTAGCCTCTTCTGGAGAAGCAGCTGGCTCGAGTGCAGTTCTGCGGTTTTATTTTTCCTGGGATACTCAGGGGGGATGTGGGAACAGCCACAGGTGTGGTGAGGGGAAGCCCCCATCTCCCCTCCCAGCCGCTGGGAAAGGGGAGAGGCCCAGGCGCCCTGGTCCTGGGTTGGTCCAGCCACTGTGGTCCCTGGGCCCTGTAGGCTGAGGGCTGGAGGGTGGAGCCCTGGGAGGGTGGGACGGGCTCCTAGGCGGGGTTCGGGATTCTTCATAAAAAGCCACGAAGCTTGATCCCCACGAAGCCCAGCCCCGCGGGGTGGGGGGGTGGTGGTGGGGACGCAGAGCCCAGATGGGGGACCCGGCCCGGCCTGGCCCGTGGGGAGGAAATAATGGCAGAGATGGTGCCCGTGGGGAGAAGGTGGGGACAAAGCGTCGGACCAGGAAGGTGGGGATTCCAGGTGGGGAGCGCAGGGCAGAGAGGCACGGCCCCCAGCCCAGCCCGGGCGCCTTCGCGTGGGGTCAGGAAGGTAAAAAACCCACGAGAGTGTGACGGGCTGGAGGGGCCGGGGCGTGCGGTGCCGGCGGGGCGGGCGCACGGGGCGGCCCGCGTTCACAGTGACCTCGACGCTGGGTGTACAGTACGGGTAGAAAACCGCGGCCCGGGCCGGGCTGGGCGGGCCGGGCGGGTCACAGCCTGGTCTGGGCCTCGGGGATGTAGATCTCGATGCTGTCGGCGCTCTCGGTGGCCGAGCTGTGGCGGAAGGAGGCGGCGCGCTTGGCCGCCAGGAGCCGCTTGCGCGCTTCCTGCCGCTGCCGGTCCACGGAGTCCAGGGAGCGCTCCTTCACCGGCACGCCCCGGCCCCGCGAGGGCTTCTTTGGTATCGGCGGAGGGACCTTCTTCTCCTCCTGTCGGGACAGCGCATGGCGGCTGAGCTTGTGGGAAAGGACCACCCCAGCAGCCAGATTCACACCCCGCCCCCGCATCCCATCTCCCCCGATGAAAGGAAATCTTGTGTCTCTGAATGGGACAGCGCTCAGAATTCTCCACGAATCCCGCAACCTGGAGCGCCAGGTGTACTTGGTCTGGCAAGGTCAAAAACCCACCTGTCACTAAAGCATGACGGATTCGAGCGCCCCCTGGTGGACCCGTTCTCACGGCTCGCATCAGTACGAGGCCGGGCAGGAGCTGTTTTCTCTCCAGGTGAGAAGGGGTGCGGCTCTTCCCGCCCTCCCCCAGCTCAGGTAAGGAAAAGGGCGGCTAACCCACCACGCCTCTGAGACTCAATATCTCATAGAGGGCTGAGGTTCTGCCCCATGTGCCTAGGCCTGAACTGAAGGTCACCTTGTAGAAGATCCAGTTCGCCCTCAAACTACAGCTGGCCAGAACTGGCTGAGGCAGCTCTGGACATTCACACAAGGATGAGCACTGGAGTCAAGGAGACAGCAGTGACCAGGTGTGTGGGCTTTCTGGAAGTGGATAATCACCCATCACCACGTGACCAGGGATCTTTGCTGCCCACACAGGTCTCTTCTCCTGTATGCCCCCTCCCTCCCCATCCCCCTCTCTGTGAAAGGCATTTTCCAGATAGTGGCCCCTTGGCCTGAAGAGTGGACACACACACACACACACACACACACACACACACTTGGGCTCCAGGAGTTTCCAGCTGTTGGCCTTGAGTTGCTGTAGCTCCAGGAACTTGAGGGTCACATCCTCGATGGAGAGCTGGAGGAGGTCCCAGAAACCCGCCAGGTCCTGGAAGGTGGGCACGGGGAACGCAGTCGGGTCCTGCAACAGTTGGACACATGACATAGGGGAGGCAATCAGTCAGGGCAATCTGGGCTCAGCCAGAACCACAGAAGGTCCTGTCCAGCCTCACTATCAGGAAGCTCAACCTGGGAAGTTGGGGTGGAGGACAAGGGCCAGGTCAAAAGCATACCCAGGCCTCTCCTTCCTGGACACAAAGCCCTGGCCCCACCTCCAGGCACAATACTCAGAACTACCCCTACAGGTACACAGACCTTGGTGCCACCTCCTGGCCACACTTTGAGTCACCTGCCAGGTCCACACAACTGGTGGCTCTACTCCTATAGCACTCACCATGCTTTGCTGACACAGCCGGAAGAACTGCTGGACCTTCTGGGACAGGAGAAGTTGTGTGCTGCCCACGGCACTGCGGATCTTTTCCAGGACTGGAGAGCAGAAGGAAAACTCAAGGACCAACCAAGACCTCTTCTTCCCCAGTCCCCAGAAGTCGGTCCTGAATGACTCCACCACTCAGTCAATGATCCATCTGTCTCTCCCTCCCCCATCTCCACCCCATTCTCAACTTCCTGACAATCAGCTCCTATCCCACCTCACCAAGACTCATGCCTTCACACAGCCTACAATCACCAAGCACTGGTCCTTCTGTATCCTTTCTCCCTCCCATGTCCTCCGCCAAGCCTTGGCCAGGCCACTAGCTCAATGACTATCCTTTGGCTGAACTTTGTCACTCCACCTAGGAGTGCCAATTTTTAAAAATCGCTAAGTTGGGCTGGGGCATGGTTCAAGTGCTAAAGCACTTGCCTAGGAAGTGCAAGACCTTGAATAAAACCCCTGTACCTCAAAAAAAAAAAAGAAAGAAAAGAATTAAGTAGTCAGTATGGTGGTGCATGCCCTTTATAGCAGCTACTTGGGAGGCACAGATCAGGTAGACCGTGGTTCAAGGATAGCCCAGGGAAAATGTTGGCAAGATCCCATCACAACCAATAACGTTGGGCAGGTTGGTGTGTGCCTGTCATACCAGTTATGAAAGAGTTATAAATAGGAGGATTGAGGTCCAGGCCTGCCCAAGCAAAAATGTGAGACCCTATTAGAAAAATAACGAAGGCAGAAAGTGCTGGGGGCATGGCTCAAGTGGCAGAGTTAAAACCCCAGTAATGCAAAAATAAATAAATAAATAATTTCATGAACATGACACTTGGCTTCCTAGTTACCATCCCATCAACTTGGGGATTCTGTCCTGTGATAAGTGTGTGGCTCCCCTCACAGTGGGCTTATGGGGAGTCCTTCCTCATGACAGGTCCACGTTTACTTAGCTGAAGCCCCTTGCCTATGCCCATATGTCACACATGATAGGACTTGAACTGTCTCCCACTGACTTGAGGCCCCACCTGAATCACACTAGATCCTCAAACAAGTCCAGATCTGAAGAATTCCCATTTCCTGGTGACTTGCACTGGTAGCGACCGCCTACAAAATCCGCCCTTTTGCCTGGCCAGTGTCCCCAGTCCTAGCCCTGGCCTCTGAAGCTGCTCCATGGCAAGAGCTCCAGCGTGTCCTGCTGCCACTGGGGACCCCCAAGCTCCACGCTGAAGGGCCAGTAAGGAGGCAAACCCACGCCTCCTTCCACTGTAGCCAGCTGCCCTGGCCCCTACTCCCACCATAGCATCAGCCCACTCACTCTCCTCCGGCAACTCATAGTCCTCCGCCTCGCGCTCCATCTGCTGGCACCAGTGCTCCAGTTTCTCCACCTCTGCCCGCAGCATCTTGATGAACCACTCGCCGTCCCGTGGGCAGGGGGACGTGCGGCCTGAGTCGGGGAGGCTATGTGAACCACGCTCCATCCAGGAGTCGCGGCGGCCGGACCCGGGGCCGGGGGCAGGGGCGGGGGCAGGGCCGGGCGACCCATCGGTGGCCGGCGGCTCATACGGCAGTGGGTAGCCCTCGCGGTAGGCCCACTGGCCCTGTGTGTGGACCGTGCGGAAGACTGAGTAGGTGGGGGCCCGGGGTCCGGGCTGGGGCTCAGAGGCGTGCCTCTGGAAAGAGCGTCCGAACTGCAGGGCCTTGTCTTCAGTGGCCACTGTGGCCAGGCCAGCCAGGCCCTCCAGCTCCAGGTCTGCCTGCACGCCAGCCGTCACACTGTTGGAGCGCTTGAACCTTGCCCGCCTGTGGAGAGAGATGCCTGGTCCCCACTACCCCTGCCCAGTCTCATCTCAGCCCTTGCTCCCACCCCAGGAAAAAAGGGAAGGAAATGAGGATGGGAACCTACAAGCAATGGCCATTAATTCATGCACTTGATATCAATTAGTCCTGCAATTGGTAGGACTAATTGGTACTATCATTGCACAGCCTCTAGACAGGGGTGACAGTCAAAATAATTAACCACCAGCACTCAATGACCAAAACAGATGCTGGCCATAGGCCAAACAGAGCAGACACTGACCAAAGTGCTGGAGCCATAGGGACAGAGGCCAGACTGTGGGGCACTGTGGAGCAGACTGTAAGGGCTACGGAGGAGCCCGGTGGGGGTAAACCCTTCACCAATGTATGCAGAAGTGGTAACAAGGTGTGTCTATTCTGGTTTGCACTGGCTGTACAATGTGTCCTCAGCCCTACAGAGATAAGTAAACAAAGCTAAGAGAGGCATGCCATTCAGAGCCACAAGTTAGAACCCCCAAATGCTGGGTTCCAGGCACTCTGCACAGCACCAGCTGCAAAAGTAGCAGAGAAAGAGATGCTTGGGAGTGGCTGTGGGCTGGAGTGGGCCTGCAACTGGGAGGACTTCTCCCCTGGGGACTCTGGAGGCTCAGCCCAGAGCCTCAGTGTGCCAGAGCCCATGGAGCTGAATTAAATTGTTGGCAAGAATGACACAGGGCCTGGAAATTTCTTGTCTTTAAGTTAATAATATGCAAATCCTATGCAAAACAGAAAGTCAATTGACCTTGTTCATTTTTTTCCCTCTGAGTTCAGAGTAGGGGCTCTTTTCTGTAAGGAAGTCAGTGACCCTCTAAGAAGCATGAGTTTGGGGCCAGACAATACTTTAAGAAGTGGGAAGTCAGAAGATGTGGGGATAGGGGGCAGAGGATGAACAGAATAAGGTCTGGGAACTCAAGGACCTCAAAAAAAGGGCCCATGGGTCCTAATTTGTCTGTTCCCACATGGTCAGAAGAGAAAGGGGTTTCTTAGGCCAGCTCCAGGGGTCTGCTCAACTTCCCAGGAGGCTCTCCCAACCCCCACAACTTCAGCCTTCCTCATGCTGCCCAGGCCTCCTTGCCTTGCCTGCCTGCCTGCTTCCCTCCAGCTGGCGGGCTGCCTGCTGGGAGCCTGTTGCCATAGAAACCAGGCCCAGAAGGATGCTGCAGGACCCAGGAAAGAGATTCATGTGCAGTCTATACCAAGCCCTATGTCCCCACCCCCACCCAGAGAGAAAAAGGAGAGAGAACATGTCTTCATTGCCTCCTACATGTTTTCACCTTAGTGTCTGCCCTGGTCAAGACTGGCATCAGTATTTCACTTGACTATTGGACTGGCCACCTTTCAGATACTACCAGATCCCCAGTGTAAAGGATGAGCACTGGACTAGGAGGCAGACCTGAGTTCAAATACTGGCTTTGTCACTATGTGCCTTTGGGACATCCTCCATCTAGGCCACTTAATATGTATGAGGGTATGTTTAAAATATAGTATATTACATATGTGATTATATATTATATATAAATACAGATGCACACATATATATCTAAAAATATACATACACACATACAAAATTATAGGAATGACCCAGTAGTTGCCACGGTATCTCCTCTCTCTAAAACAACATCTTGCATATTTTAAGGTCTGCTACCCAACAAGCCCTCCCCAAAATACCCAAAACAAGTAGTCGTCCTAAAGCTGAGTTCTGCCAAGGTACCTCCCTGCTCAAAACCTTTCCATAGTTCCCCAGTGCCAGCAAGAGAAAGTTCAAACTGCCTGTGCTGGCATTACACTGAGGCCCTTATACTCTGGATACACAGTCCTCATCTTCAACCTTATCTCCTCCACATTCGCCTTGTTCCCCAAGAAGATTAAATGTGATTCTGACTTGCACTTTGTATGTGCAGTTCCCCTGCCTGAGATGGACTTCTCCTCCTTACTCCCTGCCTATCCCCTGCTCAAATTCTTCTTCCTTTGTGCAATTCCTGGATGTCCCCCATACCACTCCCTCAGTTCCACACCCCCCTCCCCAGTCTTCCAGCAGCCCCAGGATTTAAAATTGCTCTTTCTGGCAACAGTCTTGTGTCTCTAACCAGGATGCACCTGGGCTCCTTATGGGTATTTTTGTGGCTTTGAGCTCCAGTTGACCTGTGGCTCCTCCAGAGCTCCACAGTTACAAACCCCACAGGTAAATAAATTTCTGAAGAACTGTCATCCCTGCCTGCTTCCCTGTCACCCCCACTACACAAGGATCTGTTCTTCAGCACCACTGAGTTTGCTGCCTTTCAACTGTCCTTTGGGAAGTCCCGAGAGGATCCTGCTCCATCTTGATGGAAGCAGCTGCACAGTCTTAGGAAAGAAGCACACAGTGCCCTAGGCTTCATGGTTCTCAGTCACTACCTCAGTGAGCTCTCTTACTGTGCATGCTTGCAGGAAGGCTGAAGGCCCTGAGGATCTAATGGGCTTAAGGGAAACACAGTCCTTGACAACACTCCCAGTCAGAGCCCAGACAGTTGCATGGCACAAGCAGAAGTTGGTCATCCTTGTGCAAGTGACATTTCAAGTTAGCAGCATGGACAAGATCACCCAAGAAAAAAGCAATGAATCAAAGATCAAAATACCCTGGGAACCAGGACATTTCATGGGTGGGTGAAGATGGTGTAGTCCACAGAGGAGAGGATGAAGTCAGAGCTCACAAGGAAAAATACCAGGAGAAACACCTAAAGGCAGACAAGATAGAAGGTCTTGAGAAGGAACAAGCAGTCAACTTGGAAAATGCAGCGAGGTAAGAATGGAGTCCATTGACGGAGAGCCATTGATAACCACAGCGAAAGCATGTTTGGTGGAATGTGGGGACAGATGTGGACTAAAAGGGGTTGTCAGGAGGTGGGGGAAAACAGTCACGACAACTCCTTCAAAGAGCACATCTGAGGAGAAAGTGAAAGTGAGAGGAATGCCTGTCAGATGAAGGGCATTTTTCTTAGAGTAGTTTTTGCTCCCTATATCCCAAGGGGCAGAACCTGAGGGGTAGGCAGGATAATGGCACCTAAGGAAGCACATGTCCTAATCCCTGGAACCTGTGAATACGTTACCTTCCACGACAAAAGGGACTTCTGAATCTGGTTCAGGATCCTGAGATGAGGCAGAGAGCTAGGATCATCCAGATGTGTGCAATTTTACCACATGGGTCCTTAGAAGTGAAAGAGGGAAGCCAGAAGCAAAGAAGATGGAAAAAGGGAATCAAGGTTGGAGTGTTGCCACGTGTGGACTCAACCCACCATGGCTGGCTTTGAAGCCAGAAGTGGCCACAAGCCAAGGAACACAGACAACCTCCATAAACTGCAAGTGGTGACAAAATGGGGGTTCTTCCCAGAGCCTCCAGAAGAGGAACAGTCCTGCCAACACCTTGATGTTGGCCCAGTGAAATCCAATACAGACGTCTAACCTCCAGAAATCTAAGAAAATAGATACGTATGGATTATGCCACTAAATTTGTGTTAATCTGTTGATGGCAGGAATAGGAAACTAACACAACTCCTAAAGAGAACTTGATTGAAGATGGAGAAGAGAAAGGTGACAGCCCAAGGGGTGTAAAAAATGCTGAGGAACATCATGAGAGCCCTTAATATGTGCTAAGTACCTGATGTGAACAAACACGCTCAGTCCTCACCACAGTCCCATGATAAGGGTGTTAGCATCACCCATACTCACAGATGAGAAAAGTGGTGCTTAGAGAGGTTAAGTGACTTCCTAACATGAGACAGCTATCTGATCAGTGCAGAGGCCACCTCAACCCACTGCCTCCCAAAACCAAGGGAGAGGGCAGCTCTGATCAGGAAGCAGATGCCCAACCACCGAGGCAGGGCTGGTGGAGGCAAAGGGAGAGACACAAACAGATGGGGAAGCTGCTCTGGAAGCAGAGCAAGGTCCGACCAGATAACCTCAGTCATGGAAATGAGGTAGCTGGGTGGGAGGGGGACTGTCTTCTGGAGATTGGGGGGACTGGAGGAAGGATGGAGAATGAACCAGTCTGCTGGGAGAGGCAGCAGAGCAGAGGTCAAACCCTGGTATTCCGGAGCCAGAGTACCAGCTCCACGGCTTATGGCTCGTTTTCTCATCTGTAAGTGCGCAAGACAACTGGACCAGCTCGACAGATTGCTGTGAGATAATACATGCAAAGAACTTAGGCCAGCACCTGGCCTGCACATTGTGCTAACTATAGTAGAAAAGCGGGAAAGTTTGCAGCTCGCTGCTATGCAGAAGGGAGCTGGCCAAACACAATGGTCCGAATGCCGCACTGAGAGCCCAGTGAGGGCGGTGTAGTCATTAATTATTCTGATTGCCATGATCATTTCCATCTGTTCTCCCACAGCACTCAGAACAAAACCCTTTTTTATAGTCCACATCACACTGTATTGTAGTGAGTTATTTGCATATCTGTCTCTTTCACTAAATAGGGCAGTTCCTCAAACATAAATGTTAGCTGAGTGCTTGATGGATTGGTTGGCTGGAAGGATGGACGGTAGAGACCACTAATTATCCCCAATATCCATTCTCCCTTTCTTCCTCAGTAACAGAATCCCGTAATTTGAAGCTGGACACGTGGCCAGTTTGGATAAAGATTCTTTTTCCCAATCTCCTTTACATCGAGGTATAGCGATGGAATGAAGTTCTAGCCCATAGGATATTAGCGGAAGTGGTGTGCAAAACTTCCAGAAAGTGTTTTTAAAGCAAAGTGTTGGGTCTGGGGAGGTAACTCAGCGGTAGAGCACTTGCTTAGCATGCACAAGGATCTGGGTTCAATCTGCAGCACTGCAAAATAAATAAATAAGTAACCTGAGCACGGTGGCTCACACCTGTAATCCTACTACATGGGAGGTGAAGATTAGAAGGACTACAGTTCGAAGCCAGCCCTGGCAAAAAAAGTTTGTGAGACTCTATTTCAATCAATAAAAAGCTGGGCACAGTGGCAC